TTCGGCATTCGCCGAGCAGCGATCTACTGCTCGCCCAATCTCTAGCAGCTGACGTGTTCGGCGAATGTCCGCACCTTTGATGTGTCTTTAGACTGACACGCAGTGAGTAGGGCGAATGCCGAATGTTCGGCGCTCGGCGAATAGCAATCAACCCGTCCTCACTAGCAGGGATTCGGTGAGCGATTGCTCAGGTTTCGCCGAATAGCGCATGTGTGGAGCCGCCTTAAGAGAGAGAACCTTCCCCTCCGCCACACTTTGCGCATGCGCCGTCCATTTCTTTCTCTTCTAATTGGTCGCAGTATAGCTTAGCCGGTGCGGCTGGTGCGTGCAAAGATGTTCCCGGCGGAGGCTTCTCAAGGCGGGGAAGTTGAACCCATAAGAGAGGGAACCTTCCCCTCCGCCACTCTTCGCGCATGCGCAGTCCATTTTTTTCTATTCTAAGTGGTCGAGCCATAGCTTAGCCTGTACGGCTAGCACGTTGGCGCGTGCAAAGATGTTCCCAGTAGTGGGGACGGTGGCTCTTAAAGGTGGAGAAGTTGAGCCCCTAAGACAAGGAACCTTCCCCCACATCACACTTCGTGCATGTGCAGTCCATTTTTTTCTCTTCTAAGTGGTCGAAATATAGCTTATCCGTTACGGCTGGCGCATGCAAAGATATTCCCGGTGGTGGGGACGGTGGCTTCTAAAGGCGGGGAAGTTGAGCCCCTAAGACAAGGAACCTTCCCCTACATCACACTTCGCGCATGCGCAATCACTTTTTTCTCTTCTAAGTGGTCGAGGTATAGCTTAGCCGTTGCGGCTAGCGCGTGCGCTGGTGCTTCCCGGCGGTGGCTCAAAGAGGGGAAGTTGAGCCCCTAAGAGACGGAACCTTCCCCTACCCCACTCGTCGCGCATGCGCAGTCCATTTTTTCTCTTCTAAGTGGTCACACTATATCTTAGCCGTTGCGGCTGGCGCGTTGGCGCGTTCGCAGATATTCCTGGTGGTGGGGGCGGTGTCTCAAGGCGGGGAAGTTCAGCCCCTAAGGGAGAGAACATTCTCCTCCACCACTCTTCGCGCATGCGCTGTCCATTTTGTTTTCTTCTAAGTGGTCACACTATAGCTTAGCCAGTGCGGCTGGCGCGTGAAAAGATGCTCCCAGTGGAAGGGGCGGAGGCTCCTCAAGGCGGGGAACCTTCCCCTCTGCCACTCTTCGCGCATGCGCAGTCATTTTTTTCTCTTCTAAGTGGTCGAGCTACAGCTTAGCCGTTGCGGCTGGCGCGTCCGCAGGTGTTCCCGGTGCTGGCGGCGGTGGGGGCGGAGCTGGAGCGGTCGCACGCGCGCGCGTTCGTGGGCGTGGCGCGGCAGACGGGGGCGGCGCCCGCGGGCGCGCACCTGCCCAGCGACAAGGCGGCCGCGTGCGCGCTCGCCGCCGTCGCCCGCCACCTCTACAAGCGCGACATCACCTGGGCCAAGGTCGGTGGCATACTCCTTCACGCAGTTGCCTTGTTCTAGCAGGGGGCGGCGTGTACTCCGGGTTGAGCATGTACTGTACCGGCAGCGTATATGCGACTCTGACAGTTCTCTCCCCGCGTGCTCTGGGACGTCACGTGACCCGCTTTTGAATTGAATTGAAGTAATGCCTTATTTTACGTGGTGAGACTCAGGCCATCAGGCATTCTCTTCCGCCTGAACACACAAATTTCGCTACGCTCCTTTCACCAACTAGCAGAGAAAGGATATATTTCTTGGGCGAGAAACAGACGGTTTCAATTTAGCTCAGAGGCGTCATTTAGGCCTGAGGATCTTTTACATGCAAGTTAATCTATTAACATGGGACAGCCGGCTTTACTTCCCGTAGGAAGGAAGGAAGGCGTACAAAGGATTTTTTCGCCCTTAAAAATCCACGGCTTCAATTGGGTTTGAACCCGCCAACTTCGGTACAACAGTCCGGTACCCCGCGCTGTTGAGCGCGAAATACTTGTAGGATACGTTGGGAGAGCAATTAGTAGAAGCTACAACGAAACTTTGCCTCTTGTATCAGTAGTTTTTTTATCAGACAAGAGTGTTCTGGAAAAGAGACGAGACACAATTGGCAAAGATTGTTACTGTGAGGAAGAATTGACGACTATGGAAGAGATTGTCACAGTTACCTCTGTCCAGACGGAATCAAACGTTTCTTTACCAATTTCGTCGTTTCTACTTCACGTTAGGACTGCGTCCAGTGCCTCTGATGACAATGCGAGCTGGTGACACGTCGTGGCGTCTGAGGTGGAAATCACTGGGATCCCCGAATTTTGACAATTGTATATTTTACGCGGGGCTGCTCAGGAGCTGATGCGATCTTTCGGTGACGCTCCAAACTAACAGGAAGCAGTTGACAATCTACGTCAAGGAACTTTGTACAAAAGAAGCAAGTACTTGGTCAACCGGGAAGAAATTCGCCCGGCTTTTTTGAGTAGAATATCTCCAGAGCGCTAAGTTTGAAATGTATGATCCTTTCCTCTGAAACGCCATCAAAGAATATCAAATGTGCTTTAATAGAAACGAGGCGCCAAATTTGAAGAATTTCGGTGGTCAATGTGCCAACACCCGCTCTGAAGCAATCAGCTTGCGATAATTTGTTGCTCTCTCACAGAAAGCGTTCAGCGTTGTCGCTCATGTGACTCTCACGAAGTCGCAGAGGCGATAAGGTTCGGCTTTGGCGAAAGTTTTTAGCATGGTATCAAGACATGCCAGTAAGTGTTAATGTTTTGATATTTAATTAATCTGTCATGTAGGTGGTGACATGAGCGTAGGAACAGAGCTTTGAACTGTCAGAGTCGCTTATACGCTCTCAGTGGCTAAACGTTTTTTCCTTTATCGTCACCCGCAGCCGACGAACAATTACGTAAATGAGTTGGTATCTGGATCCCGACAGATCGCAGTTTGATCTCACGGCAACCTCTTCATTCAATGCCTGGGTTGAGGCCGCCCTGCCTGCTCAGAGCTAGTAGCTTTCCAGACTAATGCCGGAGTCCAAACAATGCGCTTCTCACATGCGCCGGGAATACGTCCCTCTTTATGCAGAGTATTCGTCCACTACTATGACGATCCAAAGCCTCCCCCCCAGTGGGCTACCCGAACTAAGAGTCAGGTGGCTCGGGGCCTTTCCGGTTTCCTGACTGCCTCCACCTTGAGGCTATTGACGTGAGTAACGCCAGAACCTAGGCAACATGGCGGGGGAGGAGATATCCTCGTGAACAATAGTTTATAAAGGTATATTAATAACAATAAGTACATTTTCGGCAAACGACATTTCAAAAATGTCTATACTTGTCCTTGCTCTACTATATCATTTCTGCACCATATCCTAAATCTTTTTTTTAGCGGAAAAGACAAAATTTAGCAACGTATGAACAATAGTTTCAAAAACCCATTCGCAATCCAACGTGCGTTCAAAATTACGAAAAAAATATATATACTTGAATGCGGTGTCAAAGAAGGGGCGTTGCTCGAGGACTTTTAAATTACAATTAAATGGCGTACTAGAAGAAAAGTGTTAATACACCTGGTGTTTATTTTGTCGTTCGCCGAAGAATCCGGCCGCGTTGCCCGGGGAGACGATCCTACATTCTTGGTACCTACGGAATATATTCTTAATCTCTTTTCTGATGAAACGTGGTTTTATGTGATTGTATACAACAGACAAAACAACCTCTATTGAAGTGCTCACCTGCTTCATGAAGGGTAGTATGCAGTGAGTTTCACAAGAATTAATACGGACCTTATTTTTTGCACCGTTACTGTTCATGATTTACACCACTGTTACTGTTGATGTTTACATATCTCATATATTGATATTATTTTTCGAACAATTGACACCACAATAAAGGCTCTATTGTTACTTTCAAATGTATTCGGTACCTGCTCACAATATGATGGATATATGAACTTTTAAATACTGTTTATCGTGACGATCAATTAATTCGTCATGAATAATGTTCTCCTAGGTAACCTGATTTGACCCCTTATGACATTTTCCTTTGAGAGATACTTGAAAGATCAGGTGTACGCAGAACACCCGCATTCGGAGAACGTTCCGGCGCTCTATTGAAGAGACAATCGCAGCAATTCCTCGAGACTTACTTCAAAGGTACGTTCCATAGGAGTCAAGAATGCATTCGCAGCGAAGCACACCACCACTCAGCATCGTCTTTGACATACGTTACTGTAGCGATAATTCCTGAGTGTCAGCAGGGGAGTTGAGTCAGCGTATCGCCGGGCGAGCGAGACTTCGCCTCCCCGGTGACGCGGCCCGACTGTTCAGCGAACGATAAAATAGACACCCGGAAAGAGCAAGATGTGAACAATTTATTTCTCCCAAAATACAAAGTCAGTGGATACATGGCCCCCCTCTCCCCTTCAACACCGTGTGTGTGTGTGTGTGTGCGAGTGGGCGGCGCGTGCACAGGTGGTGTCGCTGTTCTGCGTGGCGGGGGCGCTGGCGGTGGACTGCGCGCGCCAGGGGACGCCCGCGTGGGCCGCCTGCCTACCCGACGCCCTGGCCGAAGCCGTCGAGGAGGACCTCGCGCCCTGGATACACAGCCACGGCGGATGGGTGAGCTGCCACGCCCCCTTTTACTTTCTCGCTGCGCCTTTGAGACAACGTTACGTAATACTGGGTACTTACGTAAACTTGAAATTTTAGGCAGGAAATCGCTTATTACATTGCCTTGGTAACAAAAAAGTAGATAAATCCAGTCACTGGCGGATCAAGGGGGACCATGAGGGCCATGGCTCCCTCGAAAAGACATAGCCTTTTTGTGTACCTTCCTTTATTTGAAAAAAATTGACTTAAATATTTATTTATATTCGAATTAATTCATTAAACAATAATGTTGTATAGTATCATATTAACAGTACATAAATAATATACTATTTAATAAGAAATATATTTGGAGTTAAACAAAAATCTACGACAGCCCCCACCAAAATGATATAATAATTGGATATAATAACCGCCCATAACTGGATCCGAATACAATTGCTAAATTTAGAAAAAAATCCTCTATCATGTGGTGTAGCCAGAATCCATATTTTGTACGTCCTTCATAACGAAAAATCAAAAGACGTCAAAACGGCCGTCAGTCTGTGAACAACGCTAGCAGGCGTTCAGCCTATTTTCTCCAAATTTGATATTTTGCAATGGATCTGCCTGATGTCGTGGCTCCTAGAATTTGAAATCGATATTGTAATTTTGGAGACTTCATGAATATCCTGGGACATTTTCCAATTTTACAAAAAAATGGCTCCATCGTTTTTTATTAAATTTTGTGGTGGGATAGTGGGTCTCATGCTCGTTAAAAATGTCTTCCTTGAACAAAAATATTATGGATCCTGATTATTCCTTATAGAAATCTGTTCTTTTCATATAGATATTTAAATAAGATTATGTACAAATTTTGGACATTTGCGTACTTTTCACGTAATTTAGCGTGAAAATACGGACGAGAAAGAATTTGCTTTTTAGCACCACTGGTTAACACCTCGACTACTACGAGCAGGCCGTCTTAGATCAGCGCAAGATCAGTTTAGAGTGCATCATACGAGAATAAGCAACAAAACTTCAGGAATATATTTTTTTAATTACATTTAAATGGTTTGGTCACGCATGTATACAATAGTAATTTTGTTACTATTCACAAATATGTGGTACAAATTATTTAAAAATTGTTAATTATTTATTGTTGAATTTTCCATTTTACTCATTTTTTCCGAAATTGTTCTTCGAAAAATTTCACATTTACACAATTTTTACACAGAAATATATACACACTGACAATTCAAAACGTCATACACAGAAATATATATAAAAATTATGACGTAAGAAAGTAAATGTAGCAACGTACACGTTCGTTCTCGCTGGTTTGCTTTTAGCTTAGTAAATTGGTGGATTAGCCCAACACAATCTAGATTATCTGTAATCTAGGTTATCTGTATCATGTAATCTAGATGGTGTTGATTTGCCGCGTTAGGGAGAGGTCCATTTTGTTCCAGAAACGTTGATAAGATCCACCATCGCCAGTTTTTTATACAGCAGTACTGAAATAGCTATTTCAGCTTTTTGTTGAATTTCTTTCGGAAATGTGTGCATGAAATGACCATTGTTGAACTATCAACTTTCAAATATTTAATATATTTGATGCACCCCGACGGTGAGAGGCAAGGGTCTCACCTAAAACAAGCACCCCGTTGATGATTACAAGCATCCCCGATGTTATAGCAATTTCAAATTTGTTCCATTTGAAATTTAAAAGTTAGCCCCCCACTCTCCATCAGAGGTTGGGGGGGGGGGTGCTCACTCTTATCAATACTACACAAGTCTTTAAAAACACCACCCCCTGGTTTTTCCACCCCCTGGTGCAATTTCACCAGAATTGCAGAAGATTGTTTTTTTCTACGATTACAGCGCCATCTACTGGAAAACAAAAAAATCAAACAAAATCTAAGTATTCTTTGCGCAAAATCCGAATCCGCTATAACAAATAGGGGTTGCCATTTGAAATTCGCAAGGTCCCCCACCCCTACCCCCAGGGGGTGAAGGTGACAGGTCGAGATTGGTATCATCCAATAGGCCCCTCTGAGACAAACAAATTTTATTCAAAACATTTCTTGATACGATTCTTATTTTTCAAGATATTTAGTTGTCTCAAGGGGGAAAAAAATCATCCTGTATGAATTGTTACAATTGATGTAAATGAATGTTTACTTTTTTATATATAGATATAATAAAAGTAAATATTCATTTATATTAATACATTGGCTAAAAGGAGTTAAAACGGCTCGTGTGCGGCAATGGTAGTGGAGGGCGCGCGCGCGCGCGCGTGTGTGGCAGCACGCAAGCACGCGGCTGAGCGCGCACTCCTCCGGCCGGCGCGGCGGAGGTGGCGGTGGGGCGCTACGTGGCTTGCCTGCTGGGCGCGCTGGTGCTGGTGGGCTGCTTGCGGCGCTCGCGCGCTGCGCGGCCTCGGCTTCTCGCCGCCCGCGATCTAGCGACCGCAACCATCTACCACTGCGCACTCGCTTGCGCAGCGTCTATAAGGTACTGCAAAGCACGACTATTCTCGTCTGCGAGCGTTGAACTGTGTATCCTCCTGCCGACCTTCCTTGCTATCATATATCACTCGTCACGTCTCACTCCTACGATTGCTCTCGCCCACACTGTCAGCTGCGCCTGGCGCGCAGCGCAAAGCGTACCGCCACAAGCACGCTTACTGTCTGCCGTGTTGGAAACTGTATATGCTTCTAGCCACGCTTCCCATAGCTAATATCCTCTCCACCCTCACTCTTCCTCGGCATGCTCTGAACCAATCTCGTCAGCTAGGCCGCTGGGCGCAGCGCAAAAGGTACGCCAAAACACGACTATCGTCTGCGAGTGTACCTGTGTATGCCTCATGCCACGCTTCCTGCAATATTCTCTCCACGGCCCACTCTTCCTCGATGCTATCTGCTTCAACTCCTAGCTGCGCTGGCGCCAGCGCAAGGTACGCCCAAAGCACGCTTACTCCGTGCTGCGAGTTGACCTGCCACTCCTATTTACTACATTCGTGTTACTTCGCCACACTTCGTGTCTCCCAAACTCGTAGCTGCCGCTGGCGCCAGCTGCATACAGGCGTCCGAAGACGCATCGCTCGCATTTGCCGTCAATGACCTGTTTACACATCTTGCCTGCACACTTGTGTCACTCGTAGTGCGCTGAGGCGCAGCGCAGAGGTACCCAAAGCACGCTTACTCGGTCTGCGTGTTGACCTGTATATGCTCTGCCACGCTCTGCAATATCCTCGCCACCCCCACTTTCTACGATGCTTCTGCCCAACTCGTAGCTGCGTCTGGGCGCCAACGCTCAAAAGTCTGCCAACAGCACGCTATCACAAGAGTTGACCCTGCTCACTTCTTTAATATCGCTCTATGCACGCTTCCTGCAATAATTCCTTCCCCACGGCTGAAAAACCCAAGCTTTGATCTCTCAGACGTGTATTCATGCGCTCAGCTGCTCAAACTCATTGTAAGCTGTATGGTCCGCCTGCGTGCAGGAGAAGGGCAAGCGCAAAATGATGGTTTATAGCCAATAAGGTAACCTAGCGAGCAGACATAACTCAAGAGTGTCTGCTCGATGAGTTTGAATGACCTGTGTTGCTTCACCTGCCACGCTTCCTGCAATTATTCCTCTCCACTGCTCCACTTTCCTCGATGCTCTACCAACCTCGTAGCCTGCCCTGGCCGCAGCGCATAAGGACGCCAAAGGCACGTTTTTTGGCATACTCGTATTAGCGGTGTGGTATGCTCTGACCTGTATCTGCGTACCTGCCAACGCTTTCCTGTTTAAATTACTTTTAGCTCGTCTCCTGATCGCCCACTTATTCCATACGAATGCTTATACCTCTTCTTCACCAACAAACACTCGTTATGTTCCTCACGAGTAGCACTCACTGCGTGCGCCCCG